CATCATTCCACGTCTTAAAACCTGAAATTCAAAACAAAAATTATAATTCAAGAAATAAGGAAAGTTACTTCTTATTGCCTATTATTCCTTTCCCCAATGTGTAGGGGGAATAAAATGGATTCAGACTTTAATAATAGTGAGGGAACCACCAGAAGGCCCTCAGAGCTGGACCTCTGTGCCCAGGTTGAACGATGGGGGTGGAGACACTCCTTCAGGTATACTGGGCTGAGTCCATTGAGGGCTATCAAGATCAGCACCAACACTTTGAATTGTGCTCAGAAACGTAGTGGGAGCCAATGTAGGTCTTTCAGGACCGGTGTTATATGGTCTCTACAGCCACTCCCAGTCACCAGTCTAGCTGCCGCATTCTGCATTAGTTGTAGTTTCTGGCTCACCTTCAAAGGTAGCCCCACACAGAGCGCATTGCAGTAGTCCAAGATAACTAGAGCATGCACCACTCTGGCGAGACAGTCTGCAGGCAGGTAGGGTCTCAGCCTGCATACCAGATGGAGCTGGTAGGCAGCTGCCCTGAACACAGAATTGGCCTGTGCCTCCACGGACAGCTGTGAGTCTAAAATGAGTCCCAGGCTGCACATCTGGTCCTTCAGGTGCACAGTTACCCCATTCAGAACCAGAGAGTCCTCCACACCTGCCATCCCCCTGTCCCCCCAAAACAGTACTTCTGTCTTGTCAGGATTCAGCCTCAATCTGTTAGCTGCCATCCATCCTCCAACTGCCTCCAGACACTCAAAAGGACCTTCACCGCCTACACTGGTTCTGATTTGAAAGAGAGGTAGAGCTGGGCATCATCCGCATACTGATAAACACCCAGCCCAAACCCGCTGATGATCTCTCCCAGCGGCTGCATGTAGATGTTGAAAAGCATGGGGGAGAGGACAGAACCCTGAGGCACCCCACAAGTGAGAGCCCAGGGGTCTGAACACTCACCCCCCCCCAACTTTCTGAACATGGCCCAGGAGGAAGGAGCAGAACCACTATATAACAGTGCCCCCAGCTCCTAGCGCCTCTAGACAGTCCAGAAGGATGTTATGGTCGATGGTATCAAAGGCCGCTGAGAGATCCAGCAGAACTAGGAAACAGCTTTCACCTTTGTCCCTAGTCCACCAGAGATCATTGACCAGCGTGACCAAGGCAGTTTCAGTCCCATGATGAGGCCTGAATCCCAATTGGAAGGGATCCAAATGGTCCGCATCCTCCAGGCGTGCTTGGAGTTGTTCAGCAACCACCTGCTCAGTCACTTTGCCCAAGAATGGAAGATTTGAGACTGGGTGATAGTTGTCCATATTGGCCATGTCCAAAGATGTTTTTTAAAGACGCGATTTAATAACTGCCTCTTTCAGCGGTTCCGGGAAAGCTTGCTCACAGAGGGAAGCATTCACTATCCCCCGGAGCCCATCACCCTGCCCTTCCCGGCTCACTTTTATGAGCCAGGATGGGCAAGGATCGAGGAGACAGGTGGTCAGTTTCACTCATCCAAGCAGCCTGTCCACATCCTCGGAGGTAACAGATTGGAACTGATCCCATGCAACTGGAATAGACAGGACTCTAGCACTCTCCTGCCCCAGCCCTGCTCCCATGATGGTGTCTACCTCTTTCCGAATCTGAGCGGCTTTGCCTGCAAAAAAGTTGCAAAATCATTGCAGGAGATCTTGGGGTCTTTACCAGGCCCCAATGGTGAAGGTGGTTCTGTTAAGATTGTGAACCACCTGAAAGAGTCTCCTGCTGCTGTTTTCTGCAGATGCAATAGAGGCAGTGAAGAAGGACCTCTTCACCATCGCTATTGCCACTTGGTAGGCTCGACATTGAGCTCTAACCAGTTTCTGGTCCGATTTCCACCACTGGCGCTATTGCCACCTCAGTGATTGTTTCATCACCCTCAGCTCTGGATAAAACCATGAGGCTGCCAGGCTCCATGCAGTTGGAGAGAGCGCTTGGAGCCAGACAGTCGATAGCTCTGGTTAACTCTGCATTCCAGCGGGCCAGAGGGGAATCAGCTGAAAGGCCATCAACATGGGATAAAACATCCCCTACTTTGGCCACCTCATGAGAAGAGAAGACTCCCTGAAAAAGACCCTGATGTTGGGAAAGATGGAGGGCACAAGGAGAAGGGGATGACAGAGGACGAGATGGTTGGACAGTGTTCTTGAAGCTACCAGCATGAATTTGACCAAACTATGGGAGGCAGTGGAAGACAGGAGTGGGAGGCAGTGGAAGACAACAACACCACTCTCTGCAAACCATTTGAATCCATTAAGTGGGGTGGAGGCGGATCCAAATCGGTCCCACCTCCCTGCAGAGGGGAAGGGTCACGACACCAGGAAGTGATCTGACCATGGCACTTCTTTCTTTTTGCTTTCTTTTTGCTTTTTCTTAGTGTCACATCACCCACATCCATAGAGGTGAACTCCAGGTCTAAGACATGTCTGCGACTATGAGTTGGGCCAAATTCATTCAGGGACAGCCTCATGGAGACCATGCTTTCCACGAAGTGCCAAGCAGCCCATTATAAGGTTGTGTCAGCATGGATGTTAAAATCCCCTAGGACAACCAAACTAGGTGTCTCCAGGAGACCATCTGCCATGACCTGAAGCAGCTCGGCCAGGGAATCCTTGGTACAGTGGGGAGGTCGGTACACCAAAAGGAATCCTGTTGTCCAACTTCCAGAACACAGGCTTAGAAAACTGGGTCTTCCCAATAGGACACCTAGTGCAAGCTAATGAGTTCCTAAAACTCACTGCAACCTCGCCTCCCTGCCCATATGACCTGGGTTGCTGTGTGTAAGAGAAACCTGGTGGACAAGCAGCGACAAGGACAGGCCATTTGCTTCATCCAACCAAGTCTCTGTTACACATGCCAGGTCAAGTCCTCCATCCACAATCAAGTCATGGATGGCAGTGGTCTTATGAATCATTGACCTGGCATTGCACAGCAGCACCTTCAGGTCATGTGGGTCTCCCTTGTTTATTCCAGTATCCTTCCGGTCAAGACCAGACCCAGAGGCAAGGATAGTCTTCAAACAATGACTAAACCTGCCTCCTCGGTAATGACATGGTCTGGTCTTAGCGTAACTCCTCCTCCTACCCATGATCACTGAGATTGGGTGTCCCAGTGCAACCCCACCTGTGGAACCTGCCTCAGTCATTCTCTTGGCTGGGGCCCACTCCCAGGCAGCCCTGACCTTCTCTCCTTCAGAACAGAATACAAACTATACAATGAACCAATAAAACAGTAGAAGCTAACAACAACAACAACAACCAAATTACAATTATACTAAAATTAAACTAATCCCCAGCCCCAACTAAATGTTTATCCCACCCCCAACAGAGAAAAACAAAACAAAAAACCAAAATTTAAAATGCCACAGATTAAAAACCTATTTTAAAGCATTTAAAAACATTTCCCACAGTTTGTTCCAGTGAGTCTGGCCTTTTCAGGACTCACAGCAGGGCTGTGACCCAGAACTAACCAAACATATGAAGGTCACTCACTGATCCCCTGGCTTCAAAGTCTTAAATGTTTTATCATGCTATTAATATTCTTTTGGGAGACACCCAGATAGAGAATGAATGAATATTATTCTTAGTATTATTAAATGCTGTTTGAGCCTAATCATTTTGTTAAGAAACATGATAGAGTATAAGATGGCATAACCCAGATCTTACTTTGGCAACCACTGTTTTCTGAACAAAATATGTGATCACATGCAACCGAAGAATGAAGGCTGACTGCAGAAAAAGATTCTGCTTCATGGTATGATTGGAAGTTTCCCTAAAATATCAATACGTAGGACCACTTCTGGTCAGATCTCCAGAGATATTGACTTGTGAACCTTAGTACAGAGACGCACCAGGCTGAGAGTGTATCCAATCAACTAATACCCAGAGTAAACCTTTTCAAATGAATGGACCATCAGTAGCAATGACTAACCAGAGTATTTTGAGTTTGATTTTTCTGATTTTTAAAATCAGATACTACCCTTTGAAATACTTGAAACTGATGGAGTGATAGGCATTTTTTTAGTCAGTCCCTACAAATTGCTTGCTTACCTGTCTCCTTTAGCAGATGCACACAATATTCTTCATTGTTGTAGTTGTCTGGGCGATTAAAATCCCAGCCTTTGTAATTGTAGATCTCGTCATCCGACCACTTCCAATGCCATTTCTGCAGCAATATGATGGAACAGATCATACATTCATTTGATACGAGGAGGCCAATGCAAAGGTCACATGGAGAGTTGGCCAGTTATGAAGCAATTGCCAGTTATGATGGAGTTACAGTCGTACCTTGGTTCTCTAGCGGAATCCTTTCTGGAAGTCCGTTCGACTTCCAAAAACATTTGAAAACCAAGGCGTGACTTCCCATAGGCTGCAGGAGCTTCCTGCACTCAATCAGAAGCCACATCAGACCTTCGGGTTCCAAAGAACGTTTGCAAACCGAAAAACTCACTTCTAGGTTTCCGGCGTTCGGAATCGAAAACATTCGAGTCACAAGGCATTTGAGAACCAAGGTATGACTGTATTTGTAAGAAAAACTCTGGGACCTAATTTGAATAGTAGAGTGCTTGGTATCTGGTGGGTGGGGCTTGTGTGTTTTGCTCTGGAATCAGCCCCTCCCTTCAGTATCTGTGTTCCGTTAAGAATATCAGTTAAGAGGGACCAGCTGCTTCTTCTCGCTTCTTGACTCAGACTTGCCTCATGTTGTTGTATTTAGTTTCTCTTATTTTGTATTTTTGTTACAGTTTTCTTTATTATTCAAGCTTAGTTTACATTTATGTGAGCCACTTATTTTCCTCAAAGAAAAAGAAACTCTGCTGAAGAATGGTGGAACATCCTAAACTTGGGTGAGTGAGGGGATATTATTCCCAGTTTGCCAGGAGGATTGAATATGTTAATCATCTCCCCACTTCCACAGCAATATTAGAGGAGGATTCTATTAGAAAATTGTGGGAAAGTCACATATTGGAGTCATCTGGGGAGACGATTCGGGTAAGGATGGAATGGTGATGCGAAGAAGCCGTTACTCAGTGACAATGGCCTGAAATTGAGAAAGTAAAGGCAACTCACCTCAGTGGGATCATGCAGCCCAATCCAGACCCGACTTTTCTTTTTCTGGTTTGCAGAGATGTAATAGGCCACCACATCTGACTCTTTCTCATTGAGGATGGAGGCAAGATGGGTCCCACAGCCAAAGCTCAGGCACTCATTCTGAGAATAGCCAAGCAATTAATAAACTCCACCACTATTACTAACACACACACACACACACACACACACACACACAGACTCTTTCCCACAAAGCTTTCCCAGAGTGGTTCAGAACTTGTCAAATAAGTAATAACTATTATTTAAAAATCATAAAACACCAGTGGTGGAGAGTTGGAAGTTTTTCAAATGGGAACTAAAGCAGCTGAGGAAGGAAGAGAGAAAAGGGGGTGAAGAAAATGCTGTGAGTGGAGCCAGGCCCCTTTCTCCATCCTCTGGACCTGCTGGGAAACTAAAGAAACCTGCTGGACCTGCTGCACACGAGTGCAATTAAAGGTGCTTCAAGCACTCAATCTTGGTGCAAGAAAACCACCTTGAAGCTCATACACAAAAACTGGGATGAATGCAGGAAGAATGCTCATAGTCATGATTTGGCTGCACTCTTTTCAGAAGCGGGTGGCGCTGTGGGTTAAACCACAGAGCCTAGGACTTGCCAATCAGAAGGTCAGCGGTTCGAATCTCCACAACGGGGTGAGTTCCAGTTGCTTGGTCCCTGCTCTTGCCAACCTAGCAGTTCGAAAGCCCGTCAAAGTGCAAGTAGATAAATAAGGACCGCTCTGGCGGGAAGGTAAACGGCGTTTCCGTGCGCTGCTCTGGTTCGCCAGAAGCGCTTAGTCATGCTGGCCACATGACCCGGAGGCTGTCTGCAGACAAACGCCGGCTCCCTTGGCCTATAGAGCGAGATGAGCGCGCAACCCCAGAGTCGGTCACGACTGGACCTACTGGTCAGGGGTCCCTTTACCTTTATGCAGGCATGCGGAATGTTGAACTGTGTTTTAATCTGGTTTTGTAGCTTATCCTTGAATTTAACTATTATCTTAATGTTTGAAATAGTTGTTCTTAACTGTATATAGCTGGGTGATGTCAGGTTTTCAACACCATGATGTATCACCAGCCAAACATCACAATCTGGCGATACACCATAATGTTGAAACAACAATCTGTATTGGCCCCAGCCCTCAAGGCATGGGGTGAAACGGCCACAGCTCTCATTGCAAGAGATGAGGCACTTTCATCCCAACACGCTGCAGAGCTGAGGATGACACAGCTTGTTTGTGGTTCTTGGCTTGCGGGTGGGAAGGCTCCACTCCCCCCCCCCCAGCTGAGTGAGCCCTGAGGTCCCTCCTGCTCACATGCAAGCTGGAGGGACAAAGGGGCAGAGATAGCTTGTATCTTTTCACTTGTGAGATGGTACCTTCTTGCCAGGCAATCTCTCCTGACTGTTAATTAAGCTTTCTTGGCTCGTGTGGAAACAGGTTAATTGAACACAATGGGTGAGCAACTCTCTTTTGATTAGACCAAGATGCTGCCAGGTATTGTCTCCCAACAGCTCACACTGATAGCCCTCCTCACAAAAATGTCATCTGAAACCCATCACAGCACCTGATGTGACAGCTTGGTTGGTGAGAAACAGCTTCATACCTCAGCTTCAGACCAAGTTTTCTGAGAGTCAAAATATGCATAGCAGCTGCCCTGGGATTTCAGCCAATTCCTGGGACAGGATCTGGCCTTTACTGTATGGAGAGAGGAGTAAAAGAAGAAAAAGATGGGGGAGGGGGACAAAAGCTGTTAGAATGCAATTTTCAATGTGGAATCCTACTTCACCTACAAATTTGCACAGATAATTTTAAGATTAATGAATGCAGACCTAATTTAAACATTCCTGCTTCCATTGGTGACTGGTACCCCATGGCACCAATATGAAATTGGGACAGAAAGCAGGGAGGCAAACAGTAAGTGGATCCAGAGTCCATGACAGGCAGCGCCACTCCCTGACAGGTTGTCAATATGAATATGAGGAGTGGTTCAGAGCAGACTGAGGTTGGTAGGGCAGTTCCCTATTCACCCTAATGGACCTGCTTCCATTGCCTGGTTATTTATTCCAACAGCCTTTGCTGGGTTACCATCACCTGGAAATCTGAGAAGTAGTTTTGTTTTTATAAATGCTTAACCCCAATTAAAATTTCTGGGGAATTTCCAGATAATTGTTAAAACACTCACCTGCTGGGAATGAATAGGAGACCAGGAAACCAAGAAGGCAAAGGTACGCCGGCTCCCTCCGCCAATAAAGCGAGATGAGCGCTGCAACCCCAGAGTCGGTCATGACTGGACCTCATGGTCCTTTACCTTTCTCTCTGCCAGGCTTGGGCAGAGCAGCAGCAGCAGCAGCAGCAGACGCACTGCCGAACAGCATCTCTATCTGGTGTAACTTTATGCCAGCTTCAGTCACAATGGTTTGCTTTACACCAGCTTCTTGTGCATGGCATTGTCCCAAAATCTCAGAGGCTGGAGGGGTGGCTGAATAAAGCCTTGGTCTGCACAGGCAACAGAATTAGGTGGTAGAACTGGGCAGTGGTTATAACGGAGTGCTCCATTTCGGAGTGCTCTGGGAGGAATCATATGGGAGCTGACTGAGTCAGACCAGTGGTCTATGTAATCCAGTAGGAAAGGCAATCGTTCTGCAGGGTCTCCTGCACTATTCTTATAGGTAGAAGGCCAGCACACAGTGAGTGTGTTGGGGTGGATCAATTCTCCTTGATGTACTAGCAGAAGGAATGGCTAACTGATGGTCCTCCATGTCAGTGAACTCCCAACTCCCACCAGCTCCAGCCATCAAAGCCAATGGCCAGGAGTGATGGGAACTGTAGTCCAGCCACACCTGGAGGGCAAAGTATAGCCCCACCTGGTCTAAGGGTTCTAGTGATCTGGGACAGAGTGGGTGTGTCAGTGTCCTTCATCTCTTTGCTCATGCCTGCGAGTAGCAGAACTGGAATTAATTACAGGAAACAAGCAATTATAAGCCAGATCTGCTGCACTACACCATGCTAGCTAAGCCAAACTAAGGCGAGATGGCTGATGGGAGCTATATTGGTCATATGCATCTGTATCACTTTTTGAGCTATCACTGTCAGTTTCAATATCTCCTTCTTTTGCTTCTTCACATTTGCCGTCATAGTTATCACAGATTTCTAAAAATGCAAGGCTTTGCTGGATTTAAATAAACATTTCTACCCTTTCACAAGTGAAGGAAGGCATTGAAAGGTTCTTGTTGACAATGGCAGTGCCCCCTAGAGGCATAAATGCACCTTGCTCTTCCATTTCAGAGTTGTAGTCTCAAATTACCACGCAGGACTTGCTTCTCCTTATTGTATCTGATGCTGTGCACTGTCTGGCACAAAAGTCTTCTTGTTACATAGTTTTTCAAAAGCATTTGTGGGGAGTAAATGTATGAACACCTTGTTTTAAACATTTAATACATCATTCTAAACTAATATATTCTACAACCCCTCCCCCATTCATTTTTTTCATGGGGGGGAGAATTTGGAAAAAATAACAATAGGGAAAACGATTATGCCCCCACCTAGAGCCTTCACATCTCTACATAGGATAGGGTTGGGAAACCTTTTCCAGTTTATAGGTCATAAACAACTTGGGGGTGGAGTGTCAAATGCCTGTACAGTGGTACCTCGGGTTACAGACGCTTCAGGTTACAGACGCTTCAGGTTACAGACTCTGCTAACCCAGAAGTAGTACCTCAGGTTAAGAACTTTGCTTCAGGATGAGAACAGAAATCGTGCGGTGGCGGCGCAGCAGCGGCAGCGGGAGGCCCTATTAGCTAAAGTGGTGCTTCAGGTTAAGAACAGTTTCAGGTTATTTATGAGAAATTAGTTTTGGAAAACCGTCACAATGATATACATTGAAACTCAGCCAGGGGGACTCGAGGAAGTCACTTAATAATGTTAGCAAAAGTGGAATTATTACAGTTAGGATTTATGTTTGTTTGTTTGTTTATAAATTTGGAAAATCAATAAAAAAAATTTGGAAAAAAAAAGAAAAAGAAAAAAAGAACAGTTTCAGGTTAAGAACAGTTCTTAACCCGAGGTACCACTGCAGTGGTGGGGGGTTCTGGATATAAAGTGAACAGAGCAGAACATGTATATTTTATCCTTGTGCAGGAGGCTAGCTTCTCCACACATCCCTTGCTATTACTGGATTTCAGGCAGCATTATTAGAGTTCAATGAGATATTCCACCCAGACAAAAACACACATGGGGGCTTGTGGGGGGGTGTGGCCTGGGAAGAGAGGTTGTGACCAGAGAAAGGATGCCGCCTAGGGATAGCCCCTAGAGCCAGGGAGAGAGGATTGAAGGGCTGCACTGAACCCCAGGTCTGAGGGTCTCTTCCCTTGTCAAAAAGTAGGTTGTGCGCATGGTTCTGTCCTGCAGTATCTTGCTGCAACCCACACCTCTCGGTATTCACTGCCTAAGGCAGCTGCCTTGCTGTGCCTAATGGTAGGATTGGCCCTGTAATGAAGTCACAAATGGTGAGTCTTGAGAGAATTGCTGGTACAATGTAGAAAATGTGTGCATGTGAGTTTGACGTGCTCACCCATAGAGCCATCTCTGGCTGATTCATTGCTTTGACGCAAGTTGGCCACTGGGTCCTCTTGGACATAAACTACTGCAAGAGGCCTTCTTGGTCATGCTCCTCATCTTGCCTCCTCATTTGCCTTCAGTTCTGACTGACTTCTCAGTCCCTGACTCCTGGTTTGCCCCATTGTTTGTGGTCTCTGGATCTAATTGGCTAAAAGCGCCACTGACTAACAATAATAAGCCCTGAGGGACGATTTATGAAACTTTGCTCTTTTAGGAGGCTTCTGTGGAGTTCCCCAAGCCCTGAGCGTTTCCTTGAAAGCGAGATCTAACGGGGGGGGGGGGGTCGGGTATTTCATGTCAAGAACAATATTTGCATATTTTAGTCCTCCAACAGCTTAACCTGAGCGCCTTTGGCCTGGTTGGCAAAAACCCAGTTACTTTTGCTTCTATTTGTGTACTGTATTATGATGGTACTGTTCTTACCTTCAAGGCTGTGTGTTCAGACAGTAGCAAAAACACCAACTGTGACAATTATATATATATATATATATATATATATATATATATATATATATATATAGTACAAAGCAGTGTTGATGATAACACAAACATCCTGACATTGGTAAGCCAATTAACACCTTCAGTAGAATGAAAACCCATGTTCTTGATTCAGGCTACAGGTGAAAGAACTGAACTAAAGCAAATAAGATTTGTATTTTACCACTGGCTTTTGTGGAGTGTGTGTGAGTGTGCACGCGAGTGCAGCCATAACAATTGTCCATTTGACCACTCTACCTTGTTGATTCACACACACCCTTTGCCCCTGTTAGCAAATAGTCACCAAGTACAAGGGTGCGGGACGCGGGTGGCGCTGTGGTCTAAAACACAGAGCCTAGGGCTTGCCGAGCAGAAGGTCGGTGGTTCGAATCCCCACAGCAAGGTGAGCTCCCGTTGCTTGGTCCCAGCTCCTGCCCACCTAGCAGTTTGAAAGCACGTCAAAGTGCAAGTAGATAAATAGGTACTGCTCCTGTAGGAAGGTAAATGGCGTTTCCGTGCGCTGCTCTGGTTTCACCAGAAGCGGCTTAGTCATGCTGGCCACATGACCTGGAAAAACTGTCTGTGGACAAACGTCGGCTCCCTCGGCCAGTAAAGCGATATGACCCCAGAGTCGTTCGCGACTGGACTTAACTGTCAGGGGTCCTTTACCTTTACCTTTTTACAAGAGCACAACCCCAGACTGAGAAAGTGACCCAATGAAAACCCAGATCCAGTTGTCACTGGGTTAGTTTGGGGCATGCCACTCCCAGTGCTAATAGCAACCTCAGTTGTGTGAGTGCTGATCATTATGGCACCATCTATGCACAAGAGGGAAGTATCAGCTGGCTCAGGGAAACCCCAGGACTGACATTATTTTAAAAGGAAAATATCCCTACGGAAGGGAAATCCCCCAAAACATCCCATTGAAGACAGAATATGCTCAGTGGTCAAGGAACGCTGACTGATTATTGAGGAAGTAGAGGGGTGGAGAATCATGTGGCAGGTTATTTATTTAAAAGGTTATTTATGTATGCCACTACAACGGCCTGTGTTTTGTTAGCCCAAAAATGGAAAACTCCAAGTAGACTTGCTAAGATGTATAAGACAAGATAAGTACTGGAGATGCAATGAGGTTGAGGGAACGTTCTTTCATAAATGGTGGACCTGTAAAAGGGTAGAAGAGTATTGGGAAATAATTCATAATGAAAATGTTTAAAAGTACTCCCCACCCCAAACAGAGTCCTTTTTGCTGGGGATAATTCAGATGGAAATTCCCAGGTGTCAAAAAAGATTATTTATGTATGCCACTACAATGGCCCATGTTTTGTTAGCCCCAAAATGGAAAATGAGTGAGGTCCCAACCAAAGAAGAATGGAAACTTAAACTGATGGAATATGCGCAGCTTGCGGATTTAACTTATAGAATAAGAGAACAAGAAGAACATTAGTTTAAAGAATATTGGAAAAAGTTTATTGAATATAGGGGGGAAATTAAATAATAATAATAATAATAATAATAATAATAATAATAATAATAATTTATTATTTATACCCCGCCCATCTGGCTGGGCCTCCCCAGCCACTCTGGGCGGCTTCCAAAAGAATATTAAAATACTGTAATACATCAAACATTAAAAGCATCCCTAAACAGGGCTGCATTCAGATGTCTTCTAAAAGTCTGGTAGTTGTTATTCTCTTTGACATCTGGTGGGAGGGCGTTCCACAGGGAGGGCGCCACTACCGAGAAGGCCCTCTGCCTGGTTCCCTGTAACTTGGCAGTGAGGGAACCGCCAGAAGGCCCTCGGTGCTGGACCTCAGCGTCCAGGTAGAACGATGGGGGTGGAGACGCTCCTTCAGGTATACTGGACCGAGGCCGTTTAGGGTTTTAAAGGTCAGCACCAACACTTTGAATTGTGCTCGGAAACGTACTGGGAGCCAATGTAGGTCTTTCAAGACCGGTGTTATATGGTCTCGGCGGCCGCTCCCAGTCACCAGTCTGGCTGCTGCGTTCTGGATTAGTTGTAGTTTCCGGGTCACCTTCAAAGGTAGCCCCACATAGAGCGCATTGCAGTAGTCCAAGCGGGAGATAACCAGAGCATGCACCACTCTGGCGAGGCAGTCCGCGGGCAGATAGGGTCTCAGCCTATGTACCAGATGGAGCTGGTACACAGCTGCCCTGGACACGGATTTAACCTGTGCCTCCATGGACAGCTGTGAGTCCAAAATGACTCCCAGGCTGCGCACCTGGTCCTTCAGGGGCACAGTTACCCCATTCAGGACCAGGGAATCCTCCACACCTGCCCGCCTCCTGTCCCCAGAAACAGTACTTCTGTCTTGTCAGGATTCAATCTCAATCTGTTAGCCACCATCCATCCTCCAACCGCCTCCAGACACTCACACAGGACCTTCACCACCTTCACTGGTTCTGATTTGAAAGAGTTAGAGCTGGGTATCATCCGCATACTGATGAACACCCAGCCCAAACCCCCTGATGATCTCTCCCAGCGGCTGCATGTAGATGTTGAAAAGCATGGGGGAGAGGACAGAACCCTGAGGCACCCCACAAGTGAGAGCCCAGGGGTCTGAACACTCATCCCCCACCACCACTTTCTGAACACGGCCCAGGAGGAAGGAGCGACACCACTGTATGACAGTGCCCCCAGCTCCCAGCCCCTCAAGACGGTACAGAAGGATGTTATGGTCGATGGTATCAAACGCCGCTGAGAGATCCAGCAGAACTAGGAAACAGCTCTCACCTTTGTCCCTAGCCCGCCGGAGATCATCAACCAGTGCGACCAAGGCAGTTTCAGTCCCATGATGAGGCCTGAATCCCGATTGGAAGGGATCCAAATGGTCCGCATCCTCCAAGCGTGCCTGGAGTTGTTCAGCAACCACTCGCTCAATCACCTTGCCGAAGAATGGAAGATTTGAGACTGGGCGATAGTTGGCCATCGTGGCTGCATCTAAAGATGGTTTTTTAAGAAGCGGTTTAATAACCGCCTCTTTCAGCGGGTCTGGGAAGGCTCCTCACGGAGGAAGCATTCACCACCCCACGAAGCCCATCGTCCAGCCCTTCCCGGCTAGCTTTTATAAGCCAGGATGGGCAAGGATCAAGGAGACAGGTGGTTGGTTTCACTCGTCCAAGCAGCCTGTCCACATCCTCGGAGGTAACAGATTGGAATTGATCCCATGCAATTTGACTAGACAGGACTCTAGCACTCTCCCGCCCCAGCCCTGCTCCCACGGTGGCGTCTACCTCTTCCCGAATCTGAGCGACTTTATCTGCAAAAAACTTTGCAAAATCATTGCAGGAGATCATATGGCCCATACTGGGCCCCGATGTAGCAGGTGGTTCCGCTAAATTGCGGACCACCTGAAAAAGTCTCCTGCTGCTGTTTTCTGCAGATGCAATAGAGGCGGTGAAGAAAGTCTTCGCCGTCGCTACCGCCACTTGGTAGGCTCGACATTGAGCTCTAACCTGTGTCCGGTCCGCTTCAGAATGGGTCATCCGCCACCGGCGCTCTAGCCATCTCAACGATTGTTTCATTTCCCTCAGATCCGTGGAAAACCACGGGGCTGTCTGGGCTCCATGCAATCGGAGAGGGAGCTTCGGAGCCAAACAGTCAATAGCCCTGGTTAACTCCACATTCCAGCGGGCCACCAGGGAATCAGCTGAAAGGCCATCAACATGGGATAAGCATCCCCTACCACTCTCTGGAAACCATTTGGATCCATTAAGTGGCGGGGGCGGACCATCCGAATCGGTCCCACCTCCCTGCAGAGGGGAGGGGTCGCGGAGAAGTCCAGTTGCTCCAGGAAGTGATCTGACCTTGTACACTTGAAAACGCTGGAAGCATTAAGATGAATTCAACAGTATAAATAAGTTTCGATGGAAGTAATAATGGAATACTGAATGGTTTAGTTCATATATAATATGCAGGGATTTATGTTTTGCGAAATGAACCATGGAAAGAGAAGAAGGGACATCATTGATATTTTAAGGTTGTTTAAATGAATATTTTAAATTGTAAAACAGAAAATTTAATAAAATATATATATATATATATATATATATATATATATATATATATATATGAGAATCATGTGGCAGAATTTGAAGGGAGAGATAAATTTGCATCCTTCTCTTTTTTCAGGAATCTGTCCAATTTGCACATGGGGTTCATTTATCTTCACACCATATTGGGGGACAATTTGGGCTGAGAGGATGAGCATGTCTGCAGCACAAATGGATATCCATTTCATATCACCCTCACAATCATAATATCTGCCAAATCATCGTGGGAATTGTAGTCTATTGAGAGTACTAGGAATAATTGCTTGCAGGATTTGGTTAAAGTCAGAATCTGTTCTATGGCCCCACATGACACCCAGAAGCAGCAAGTGATCGAGTCAGCACTAGTTCCCACTGTCATTTCCCAGTTCATTTACATTGCTGCTGGGCAGCATTATTTGAAAGCAGAAGTCTACAAATTTGCACTCCATGGAATACCAATTCTTCCCCTTTCTAGTGAAAAGGTTACCCTGGGACTGTGGTTTTGCTGAACTCTCATTTCATTTCAACAGGGCTTGCACAGCACAGATTGTGTCCATGGTGGGCATCTAGGGAGGCTGCAGACTGCTGATGAAAAGTTCATCAGGAAGAAACATCCCTGCCCCCCCACATCCCCAGCCTTCTAACACAATAAGGCATGCCAAATCCATTCTCACTGAAATTCTCATCAGAAATGAGGCAGAAAAAGGGAAGCCGCATTCCTAGGGGAAGAACAGTCAACTAGAGGGCATATTTTGGCCCATCACTCATAATTTGTGAATGGGATTGTGATAAAAATCACCTTTCTGCTGGCTGGGCCCCCTGTTATGCAATGTTGCCAATAGCGTATCAAGACATTTCCTTAAAGCTGTTACCTTTTAATATTTCATCATGTTCACCTGAGCTCTATATTAAAGCCATGCATGGCCAGGAGACCATCCAAGCACCTACAGACTTAGCAGACAGCCCCAGCATATCTTGCAAGGAAGAAAGCTCAGCAGCAGAAGGACTCAGGTGAGCAGCTAAGCGATCAAGTCTCTCCCCTTTTGTTAACAGAACAGTATCTTTTTGCCTGGTTCACAGCTTAGAACCCTAGAAACCGAACCCAGTAATCCCAGGTTATTAGATACCCACTGCAGGTTTGAATTTGATTATGGATACTCATGGTATCAGCATCTCCCTGATATCCAGCTTCGTGGTTTTTCTGCCAGTGTCAGCCCCAGGGCCCTTGGGCAAGACACCTTCCATGGTCCCCTTTCCTTCAGTGGGTCTACCTCCTGAATGCAACAAGTTCAAGGTGCGTTGTCAGTTTGGTTCAGTCCCCAGTGTCTCTGGGTAGATCTGGGAATATCACCTGCCCGAAACCCTGGGGAGTTACTGTCAGCCAGTTCAGACTACAAATGAAAACGCTGTGGCTCTCCAGATATTGTTGGACTACAGCTTCCATCAGCCCCAGCAAGTATGGCTAATATCCTCCCCGTACTGAGCCAGATACTGACTCGGTATAAGGCCCTATACTCCAAATGCCCTACCATGCTAATCCTTGATGCTGACCCTGTCTTTGCTCTGCTGCTGCCATCTCTATGTCTATATTCACAGGTGAATAAAGGACATGAAGTCTGTTGCTTATCTTAGTGTCTTTCTGGCTGGCTTCCTGGTTTCTAGTCCCTTAGTGGAAGGTGAGTTTCTCCTGCCAACAGAGTGGAAGTTCTCTTGTGATGGGACAGTTTCTCAGAGCCAAAAGATGTCAGACTCTCCTTGGGCCTCTTCAAAAAAGAAGAAGTATGAATTGTATCAGGGTCCTTGCTGTTTGCAGGAAATACCCCCCGTGAAATACCTTTGTTCTCTCCCCCCCCCCGGGTCACTCCTCCTAGCAGTGCCCCTGGTGCCAATTAAAGAAGCAAGGGGCGCTGAGTGCCTGTGGTTTGGAAAGCAAACTTCTCTCCGTCCTTGTCTCACTCCTCACAATCATTCCTGTTTTTCTTGTCTCTCTCCTGAGCAGTGAAAGCTGACACCTGTGCCAGAGAGTGGCTGCAATACCAGGGCAATTGCTATGGCTATTTTGAGACTCAGATGACCTGGCATGAGGCAGAGGTAAGCGGCCAGCTGGTTTTGCCTAAGTTAGGTAAATGGCTCTCAAGATATGGAGGTCCAAAAGGAGGTTCAATGTTGCTTTTCATGGTTCTCCATCCTTATGGCAGCCGGAAGAATCCCAGGAGACAGCCAGGAAACAGCTAGCTAAAGACAGGAAAGAATTACAGTGGTACCTCGGGTTACAAACACCTTGGGTTACAAACACTTCCGGTTACAGAATCCACTAGCCTGGAAGTAGTACCTCAGGTTAAGAACTTTACCTCAGGATGAGAACAGAAATCTTGCGGCGGCGGTGCAGCGGCATTGGGAGGCCCCATTAGCTAAAGTGGTACCTCAGCTTATGAATGGTTTCAGGTTAAGTACAGACCTCTGGAACGAATTAAGTTTGTAACCAGAGGTACCACTGTATTATCCCTTTGTTTTGTTTTAACGGGGTGCTGCTGCCTCTGCCATCCTCCCGACATCACAGCCCCTATGTGGCATGGCTGCTTGTTGTCTCTGGCAGTCTTTCAAATCACCTCCCTCCTCCCTGCAGATGCGTTTTCCTGATGGCAGCAGCAATTATTCTGGGAGTTGAGCTGAAGCTTGGGTCCATATCGTGGTGGGTTGATGCAATGTGTGGATCCCACAGTGCCCAGTGTTGGAATCTTTATCACAGTTGGTTTGGGAGGTTTGGCGACGAGCCCTTCCATACATCTAGGCCCTTGGCAGGTGTCTGACCTGACACTGTTCTTGAGGCAATCTTGTGAAGCCGTGGAAGAGTCAAGGTTTTCCCTCAGGCTGGGGTGAGGAACCCTTTTCGGACTGAGGGCTGTATTCCACCCTGGGAACCCCCGGAGGGCCACATGGCAGTGATGGGCAGGGCCGGAGACAAAAGTGAATTTTACCTTTGTAGTATTTCTACACACCCTTCTCTAGCCAGGAAAGCAAGTGGTATTATCAGAGTTCAATGATACATTCAAGCTACGAAGAAAACACTTGGGGTGTGAAGTAGGGCCAATGAGGGTGCTCACCTGGGAAGAGGGCATGAGGCCTAAGAATAGTTTTGTGGGCCGGATAAAGTTTTTAAGGGCCCCCATTCAACCTCTGGGCCTGAGGTTCTCAACCCTGAAAAGTTCCTTGTTCCAACAGCAGCATGGATGCTATTAGCTCAGAGATGGATAGAAGACAAAGTCTCTACAAGAGAAGAATGGCAAATTAAATTGTTTTACTATGCCGAAATGGCAAAATCAACCAGAACGCTCAAAGCCAAGAAGACCATAACTTTAATAAGGAATGAAAAAAATTATAATTTATCTTGGGGACCACTGTAAACTAATGAAAACATTAGCAGGATTGCAATAACACTTGTAATGTAATGGGTACTATGGAGATAATAGAGCTAAAAAACAACTACAGAACCCTTGCAGGGGAAGGTGGGAAGTCCAGAGATTTGGGGGAATCTTTTAATCGTAGCTGTGTGTTGTAAAATCAAATTTCAAAATTTCAAAAAAGGAAAGAAAAAGAAAAAGAAAAATTCCTTGTTCATCACAATTCTTCTTGCTTTAAGCCACATGATGTCCCACGAAAGAGTAGCAGAATGTGGAAAAAAACAGCCTTTGTTATTGTCCTTGTCTAGATCGAGTGCCAGAGTTACAGGCGTGGGGCTCACCTTGCTTCCCTCCTTACCCCCGCAGAGACCCTCGTGGTAGCCAATCACATCGCTGCTTACCAGACTGACATCAGCAATGTCTGGATTGGTTTGCATGACATCCGACATGTGAGTATCTGGAAACTGCTACATTTCTGCTCTGCCAGTGTTCTCCATGGGAAAGGCACCTTCTAACAAACGTTGTTCACATGGAGTGCCATTGCATCCCTAACGTCTTCCTCTCAGCTGTGAATTTCGGAGGCCACTCCCTGTCAGCCATAGAGGTTGCCTTGGGTGTTAGTAATGGATTTGTAAGGCCTGCCCAATCAATTTAGGGCTGTAGACATCTTAGTTATGGAACAGGTCCTCCAGTTTTGCAGTGCTATGTAGACTACCATGATGTACAACTGTTATTTAATGGTTTCTGGGTTGTTTCTGGGTTGATAGGCTCCAGGATGTAGGCCCCATGAACTGAGGTAATAGGAGAACCAGTATTCCTTCACCTCCAAACTTTTAATGTTTTTTTTTAAAAAAAATATTAATAATTTATTTACAACATAGTCCACAACAACTCATACATACAAACAAACAAACCCGCCACCATTGACAATTTAATTATCAAAATTAAACTCCTATCCCTTTGCATAAAGAAAACAAACACAAAAATAAAAGACTTCCTTTATCCTGTAAATGGCCTCCTTATTTACTTCTTGTATACTGTTTCTTTTATATGTGATTATTACAATTTTTCCTAGTTATGACTTTAAAAAGCACAAAGTCTCCTGTATAAATTAATTGAAAGAAGTCCAGGTTTATATTTTGGGGCACTGTTCTCTGCATTTCCCCCATTCTTTTTGAAATTCTTGTCTGGGTTGTCCCCTTAGTTACTTTCTCTCGTCACTCTACAGAGTGGAATATGGAGGTGGTCAGATGAGTCTACCTACAACTACAAAGCATGGATGCCAGGGGCACCCAACAACTTGGGGAAGGACGAGTATTGTGTTGAGCTGAGGCATTCTGTGAGAGAGGAAGTTGTTCCTGGTGATGGCGCACCTGAGCAAATAGCAGTAGGAGCCCCCATGGGAAGTGCCCATGAAAGAAGATGCCATCCTGAAGAAAGAGTTCGCAGTGAACGTGCAGGTAAAAAAAAGATTTAGTACCATCCAGAATCAAAGACTTCCCTGTTCAGTTATATTAACTTCACACATTGTTATCAAGGGCCTATTCAATAGTCTACAATGATAGGATACTTCTATCTGTGTATTTCACCAATTGCGCATTGCTTTCAATTATTTAGCTTTTTATATGTTGTGTCTTTTACTATGATTTGTAAGTTGTTTTGAGATGTTTGTGCAAATGACTAAGAAACATAAAGAATGCCAATAACATTTGCACATTATTATTACTTATTGTTTCAATTTATATCTCACCCTGTTTCCCAAAGGAGCCCAGCGTGGCAAACACATCAATAATATTTCTAAGTATTATAAAAAGAGTTTAAAACCTTCTAAAACAGTTTTTTTTAAAGTCCCTTAACCAGTGATTCCACATTTGAAAGGAACAGTACCCTTCTGTCACCAAACGCCTGGGTAAACAGGGGTGTTTTAAAATTCCCTCTGAAAGTCAGTAATAAGGGAGACAGATGCAGCCCGCTTTGTCATAGGCCGATGCCAGCGGGGTGACTTTAATAGAGGACAAATTCATGAAGGATGAAGCTGTCAGTGGCTACTAGCCACAATGGCTGTACTCTTCCTCCATGGCTAGGGAAGCAGTATGCTTTTCAATAGGGACGCAGGTGGCGCTGTGGTCTAAACCACTGAGACTCTTGGGCTTGCTGATCGGAAGGCTGGCGGTTCAAATCCCCACGACAGAGTGAGCTGCCACTGCTCTGCCCCAGCTTCTGTCAACCTAGCAGTTCAAAAGCATACCAGTGCAAGTAGATAAATAGGTACCGCTACAGTGGGAAGGTAAACAGCATTTCCGTGCGCTCTGGTTTCCGTCACAGTGTTCCATTGTGCCAGAAGCGGTTTAGTCATGCTGGCCACATGACCCAGAAAGCCATCTGTGGACAAACGCCAACTCCCTTTGCCTGAAAGTGAAATGAGCGCCACAACCCCATAGTCACCTTTGACTGGACTTGGAACCATCCAGGGTCCTTTACCCTTACCTTTTACCTATGCTTTTCAATATCAGTTGCTGTAACATGCAGGAGGGGAGAGCTGCTGTTGTGTTCCTGCTTTTCGGTAACTAGTCATTGACACCATATTAGTATCTTAGTAGTGTATTTGTACAAGATCATCCACACAAGGGAGAGGAATCTGTCAACTGTTGGACATTTCTTTTGCTCTTAGAATTCTCCAAGTGGAATGATGCAAAGTGCCACAAACTGAACTCCTACATCTGCAAACATGAACTGTAGCAAGGGCCTGGATTCAACTGTGCTTGGGAGATACTTGGGATGCAAAGGAAGGGGACTCCCCAGTGGATCTTCTCTGATCTCCAGGACATCTTGGGGGCTTTCTTTTATTAAAGGACCAGGCCTCCCGAGACAACGGACACAGATCATGCTTAACCCAAGGCCATTGTCCCATAACAGAAAAGTCGTACTTTATGTTATATATGTTAGTTTCTGTTTCCCTCACTGAGCAGCTGCTTGCAGTCACAGAACTGTTTACATTCCACAGAGTCAGATACTGTTGGATTCTCACGGGAAAGGGAGACGGGATGTGACGTTGCTGGTTTCCTGTTTCTTTTGTTCTGTCGTTTCTTTGTTCAGTTGCTCTCTGCTCTCATAGAGACAAGATGTATATTTCTTTGCTCTCTGCATAGCTTAGTAATAAAGTAGCAATGTAGCATCATACCTGCCTCATCCTTCCGTTGTGGAATTTGTTGTTTTAATGCTCTGCTGGGTGGGCTCAAAGAAGATGAGCCTTATCAGCTCGGATGAACGGAGCTGAAATTCTAATAATATAAAGAGCTTTCCTTGCTGTCTCCAGAGAACCCTGGGAACTGTAGTTCTGTGAGAAGGACTGCCAAAAACTCCCAAATTTTCCCCAAACTACAATTCCCAAAAATCTTTGAGGGGGGAACCATAGCCATGAAACACAGCTCTTATAAGGGCATAGTATGGATGTACCCTTTGAAATCAAACTTTGTTATCCATACAGTATATTTGCTCTGCATGTGCTTCAATAGCTGCAAGTGTAGAAGATAAATGCTAATAAAACTTTCCTTAAGATGTAAGTGTGAATTTATTTGTGGTGGGGTCATATTTCATTGCAATGGTGACAGGGTTCACTATTTGCCTTGTTAATCATTTGTGCATTTGAATAACATCTACACCATCTTTTCTGTCCAAAAAGAGACATTTAAGATTGCTTACACCTTTGGTGAAGTGCAAAAGAATACAAGTCAATGAAATGACAGGATCGTTTTTTGAAAAAGAATTGAAATGAGTGGGTCCTGCAACAGAATGTTTCATGAAGAGTGCTTTGGTTAAGGTTTTCCGGCAGCCAGTTAGCCAGGCATGGCCTCATCCAGGAGACTCCATTGTATTTGCTTCCCCCCTGGTTTTCCATTTCACTGCATTAATTAGCATTTTGTGACCGAGCAGCATCAGTTCTCCATGGGCTTTTAAACACCTTGAGTCAAAGTCGTTTGGGGCTTTAAAGATTAAAAACAGCACTTTAAATTGGGCTCAGAAATGCGGTGGCAAGCAAGGGCACAGTAACGGCTGCAAAAGCCCCCACCTCCCCACAAAAAACTAACGTGGGAACCTCGACTTGGGCCTGGAAATGAACTGGCAACAAGTTCTGGAAGCATGTCAGCTTGGCTAGTGAAACAATGACCCTGGCTTGCTCTGGTGCATATCTGGAGTGATATACAGAAATCAGCAGGTGTAGGCAAACATTGCCCTCTGTTCATTTTACCACCACACCCCTTTCTTATCAGTGTTACATTCTTTCTTCCTTTTTTTTTACAGAGCCATGTTGCATAATTGTTGGTTAAATTTCAAACATTTCATTTTGATTCTCTGGTAAACTCCTATTGGGCAAGTGGCTTGAAGTTCATTTCTTCTTTTTCCCGTGCCCTGCCCCTTTTAAGCTTTGGGCAGCAGCAGCTTGAAGAACAGGCTCGCCTCTTCGAAAAGTCGTACACATAATTCAAGACCGGATTGAACTTGGGTAAGTTGTGTATATTCTGTCCAGATGAGCAGGATACAATAATTCATTGTATTCATTCATTCATTCGCATTTGGGGTTCTGGTTCCTCTAAGCAGCTGATTTGCACCCAGAGGAGTCTGAAATGAGATCCTTCACAAATAAGGAAGCATAGCCCTTGAGGAAATGGGGGCCTATTCCCTATCTCTTTGGTAGGCAGAGGTGAAGGGAATGACACCAGGCTTCTAACTAAGCATTCTGTTGCTTTCTCTCAATGGCTATTCTCTTCAATAAAGCTCATTCTATCAAAATGCAAAATGTCGCTGTACTCTGTGCCTACATTCTGCCTATGAAGAGCTCAGAAGCACTTTACGAGTGAAAGCAGGAAATCAGAGAAACTTGTTCTTTTCAGAGAGAATTAGGCAAATCTTTAACGAACTCCTGCATAACAAAACACTTTCTTTCCACAAGAACCGGAATATACAAAATGATGAACATAATAGACATTGTCTGTGAACAGATATTCTTTTTTGTTTTGTTTTTTTGTTTTTGTAAAACACAGCTTGGGTTGGGGGGTGCTTTTCATCAGGAAAGTTGCTCATGTTCCTTTTGGGAGTAAAGCGACACGGCTTGCAATATGCTACCTGAACCAATCACGGGGTGATGGATAATAATAATAATAATAATAATAATAATAATAATAATTTATTATTTATACCCTGCCAATTTGGCTGGGCTTCCCCAGCCACTCTGGGCAGCTTCCAAAAAAATATTAAAATACTGTAAAATACATCAAACATTAAAAGCTTCCCTAAACAGGGCTGTCTTCAGATGTCTTCTAAAAGTCTGGTAGTTGTTGTTCTCTTTGACATCTGGTGGGAGGGCGTTCCACAGGGAGGGCGCCACTACCGAGAAGGCTCTCTGCCTGGTTCCCTCTAACTTGGCTTTTCGTAGTGAGGGAACCGCCAGAAGGCCCTCGGTGCTGGACCTCAGTGTCCGGGTAGAACGATGGGGGTGGATACGCTCCTTCAGATATACTGGACTGAGGCCATTTAGGGCTTTAAAGGTCAGCACCAACACTTTGAATTGTGCTTGGAAACTGGGAGCCAATGTAGGTCTTTCAAGACCAGTGTTATATGGTCTCGGCGGCCACTCTCAGTCACCAGTCTAGCTGCTGCATTCTGTTTTTTTTTTTTTTTTTTAAGAATATTTATTCAAATTTTAAGATTACAAAAAAAGAAAAAATAAAGCAAGAAAAACCAATCACATACATCTTACAAAAGAAACACACCATACAAGAAAAAAAAGAAAAAAAATACACAAGACAAAAAGTCACAATAAAAAATAACAAAAGAAGAATTCAAATTAAACAAACCGTTTTCCCATTTACTTATTTCCGTGACTTCCTCTCACTTCTCTGCTTTGTATTCTAATTCAAATTGTATCTCCAGCAAATCCTTCTAGCCTTCTTTTCATTCACTTATTTTAACATTTTAACATTCAAAAATATTTAATTCTCCTCTATCCTTTAGTTTACACTTCATATTTACTTAATTCCATTATACTCTGTCTGCCAATACGGTCTAATATTTCTTCTCCAACCTTTCCTAACATTCTTTTATGTTACAGTGATTCTGTAGATATGTTTTAAACTTTTTCCAATCTTCTTCCATCAACCCTTCTTCTTGATCTCGGATTCTTCCGGTCATCTCAGCCAGTTCCATATAGTCTATCACTTTTCTCTGCCATTCTTCTCGGGTAGGCAATTCTTGTGTCTTCCAATATTTCCCAATGAGTATTCTTGCTGCTGCTGTCACATACATAAAAAAAGTTCTATCTTCCCTTCGCACCAATTGGCCGACCATGCCCAAGAGGAAGGCCTCTGGTTTCTTTAAGAAAGTATATTTCAATACCTTTTTTAATTCATTGTATATCATTTCCCAGAATGCCTTGATCTTTGGGCACGTCCACCAAAGGTGAAAGAAAGTACCTTCGTTTTCTTTACATTTCCAACATTTATTATCAGGCAAGTGATAAATTTTTGCTAGCTTGACTGGGGTTAAGTACCACCTGTAAATCATTTTCATTATGTTTTCTCTTAAAGCATTACAAGCCGTAAATTTCATACCTGTGGTCCATAACCGTTCCCAGTCAGCAAACATAATGTTATGCCCAACATCCTGCGCCCATTTAATCATAACAGATTTAACCATTTCATCCTGTGTATTCCATTTCAACAGCAAATTATACATTCTTGACAAATTTTTAGTTTTAGGTTCTAACAATTCCGTTTCCAGTTTAGATTTTTCCTCCTGGAAACCAATCTTTTTATCTAAGTTAAAAACCTCCCTTATTTGATAATAATGCAACCAATCTCTGACTTTGGTTTTTAATTTGTCAAAACTCTGCAATTTTAATTTATCTCCAACTTGTTCTAAAATTTCACAATATTTTGGCCAGTTTGTCTCCATATTAGTTTTTTCAATGCCTTTGCCTCCATTGGTGACAGCCACCTTGGTGTTTTACTTTCCAACAAATCCTTGTATCTCACCCAAACATTAAACAATGCTTTCCTGACAATATGGTTCTTAAAGGCCTTATGCGCTTTAACTTTATCATACCATAAATATGCATGCCATCCAAAAACGTTATCAAAACCTTCTAAATCCAAAATGTCCACGTTTTCAAGAAGTAGCCAATCTTTCAGCCAGCAAAAAGCGGCTGATTCATAGTAAAGTTTAAGATCTGCTGCATTCTGGATAAGTTGTAGTTTCCGGATCACCTTCAAAGGTAGCCCCACATAGAGTGCATTGCAGTAGTCCAAGCGAGAGATAACCAGAGCATGCACCACTCTTGCAAGGCAGTCCGCAGGCAGATAGGGTCTCAGCCTACGTACCAGATGGAGCTGGTAAACAGCTGCCCTGGACACAGATTTGACCTGTGCCTCCATGGACAGCTGTGAGTCCAAAATGACTCCCAGGCTGCACACCTGGTCCTTCAGGGGCACAGTTACCCCATTCAGGACCAGGGAATCCTCCACACCTGCCTGCCTCCTGTCCCCCAGGACAGAAAGAAAGGCAACCCATTCTTCCCTCTCTTTTGGTAACTACTGGTTGGTAAAGTACATTACTTCCTCTCCGGCATTCCTTCTTTTCTTCTTTCCTGCTTCATGTTAGTCCAAATATGACTTAGCATGTGTTGAGATAAGCCCTCGGTCCACCTAGCTCACCATTATGTCCGCTGATGTGGGGAATTTGCC